ACTGTGCTATTGGCCTTAAATACACAACTATCCTTCATCTCAGACTCTTAAATACTTTTATTGGTAAGCATATTCCTACTAGAAATTATTCTCCACTTTAAATGTCTTCATAAGCACAAAGAAGCTTTAGCATGAGTAAGATCATTGTCATTGCTATGTGCATTAGCACTCTGTAATAAAAGTGGATATTCTTTCCCCTTTTGAAAACAGAGCCAAAGTCATCTAGTGTAATTCATGCAGCCATGTAATGGAAGGGGGAATTTTGCATTGCCTACTGCATGATCAGCAATTTTTCTGTGGTAATGCTAACTATTCTAACCAAACAGAAAAGGCCCCTTTGTATGCAGCTTAGCTCAAGAAGTGAAATCAATACAGACAGGACAGGAATCATTACAAACAATATTTATACAGCAGGGGGAATCATATTGGACAACATTGTTCCAAGTTTGCCACAGTGTTTTCATAAACCTGGCCCCTGTGGCAGATGACTACAGAGACTTGACCCTAAATTACCTAATCAAACTATTCTTTCTGACTGACCTTATTGGCAGGGCACACTTTGCTGTCCAGCAGCTGAGCTAAAACATTATGTACATCTGAGGACATTTATCTCAAGGAAACTTGCCAGACATATTCACAGATATAAATACTGTAACCAGTTACTTATTATTTGAAGAATATTTTATTGTCCAAATAGACAAATTGGAAGGAATTCAAAGCAGAGGAAGCTTTTTTTTCAAAGAATTTTTTTCAGAGATGGAAGGGGAGAGAGAAGCATGCATAGTTTGACTGAGTAAGGTTTGTCCTCTCATCCCTCCTCTGCACCATCTCTGCATCCACAGACTCTGCACAGGCTGTGAGAATGCAAGAGGATGAGCAGAAAGTTGTCTCATAGTGATCCTGCACTGGGCCACCACAAGGAATCTCCTGGCCTGGACATAGTTGCTACACCCAGGGGCGCTTTTACAGCCACTTGAAGCTTGCTCTACCAAACTGAGACCGTGCCTTGGAAACTCGAGTAATGTAGAAACAACCCCTGGGCTGGTTACATTATGTGGGGGCTATTGTTGAGCTCTGTAACAGCCCCGCTTGACACAAACCAAATGTAAAGCTCTTTTTATCTACAATCCACCCTCCCACCTGCACTTTGTTGGCTCTACAAGAGGACAAAATAATAGTTTCCAAATTGTTGAAAGACAGAAAAAATCAAAGCTGAAGAGAATTCTCTAAGATGAGAACAAGTATTAGAACTTGCAACAGTGGCAAGAGAATATTTTAGGTTAGGTAAAGCTTCCCAGAAGTGAGATACAAGGAAAATCTGTGGTGAAAGAACCTCAGCTTGTGAAATCTAAAGTCAAACCAGTGAAATCCTTTAAGAGAGCAGCTCCTCAAACAGCTGAGATAGATACTCCCTAATGCTCCTGGCAGAGGGAGGTAAAATCTTTACTTTGTCTCATGTTCTTTAACCTGGGAGTTACTTCTTTCAGCAAAGGAGTCCATTCCTCCCCTTCACTACTCTGGGTACTGTTCATGAATTTCTTCCACAAAGGAATAGCTGGCTGGAAAATTGACCCTCTCCAGTTTCTTGGCTGGGCAAACTGGCTATGGGGAAATGCTGCTTTTCAATGCTTTTCCTCAGAAATACAGGCACTAGTTCTGAATTCTTCAGCATTTCTCAGACACGGAGGGGGTCAAGACCAGGGACCAACAGCCATGAACACAGATACAGTGCTGTGGCTTTGTGGTTAGAAGCTGGAATCTTTTGCCCCAGTGCACTCACTGATCTGTAACTGCTTGAGCTAGAAGGCCAAGCTGCTAGCAGGAGCAGGGAGAAGGGCTTTTATCTTCTGTGGAGGTGGAATGGTTCTTCCATTGCCTGAATCGCACTGTTACACATCCTGTAAGAATTTTGGTATGAAGGGTGGAGAATAGTGAGGTATAATGGGTTATGATTATTCTATGTGACTGGATCAAAGGAGGAAAATAATTTCTCAGTGTGTATGGGATTGTGTACGGATGTTTTTTATCTAAATCAGTTTTATTTTTCTAACACAGGCTGTTGGTGAGTCTGTTTTCCAGGGCCTACGAAAGATGACTGGGAAAGGCATAGCTAGTGGGAATAAACTTAAATTTGCTGCACTGTGGTCTGGCTCTCCATTAGAAAACCTTTAAGAGTGTCCATTCTGCAAAAAAACCTGAAAGCACCTAACCTACTTAGTAAATAGGCTCTGTTTAAGAAGAACAGGATGGAAAAAGTAATAGCTGAGGAGAAAAAAAACAGTGACCTAGAACCCAGCATGCTTCTGAAGGGAGAAGGTAATACCCATCAAAATGCTAAGTTTTTTTGCCAGATCTGGGAACTAGCATATCACAGGATATAAAGACTTAAGTGACCTGCTCTTTGGAGCAGAAGGGGTGAGGGAGGGGAGAAAGCTTTAAACAAGATTTGAAGAATTCTTCCCTTTGAGGCACTAGGAGAGAAATAATTTGTGAGTTAGGGGCCAGGAGTAGCTGGTCAGATCCTAAAGCAGGACTACTTAAGCAATGGCTCCAGCACAGCTGCAAGACAAACCAATTTTGATTGGGCTTTGCCAAAGTGCGGTGCAAGAACAAATAATAAAGGGCGGCTAGCTGCAAGGAGGAACCGGGACTGGGAACTATGAGCGCTCTCTCTTCTTCATGCACATCCAAGGTGGGAGACGATCTCATCAGAAATTGTGTAACTCTGCCCCTAGGTTTCAAGGCAGGGACTGTAGGGGATCTGGTCCCAAGATGTTCTGTTCTGCTTTATAGTTTTAAGGTCTGTTCTGAGGCTTTAAGAAAATTGGCGCTGCCATTGCTGCCAGCAGAAGCAGAGCTGCCTAGTCAAGGCTGGCCTGCTGAGGTATTCATGGTCAGCAGGAGGGGAAACACCTCTTGGCCCTCTGTGAGAGTAGAGGTGCGTGATTCAGTACTGGTTTATGGGGATGGCTAAAGGACTTGATAACAAGACTCAGAGGATGCTCAGTGAGGCCACAAGAGATCAAAAGTGTGTAAATCAGGAATTGTGACAACCTAGAGGCAAGAAAACAAGACTGTGGGAACACAGTGTTCTTGGGAATATCCATTATTTAAACTCTCCTCTTAATTTGGCTTGCAGGGAGACAAGGACAGTTGAAAACAGCTCTGCTGAACTCTTGATGGGACTCTGCCTGCATTATGATGTTGGAATTTGGCCTTGTCGTATAAAGCAGTTAGAATATATTTCTACTCCCATTCCTGCCCAATCTGGTTCTGGAAGTTGGTGCTGTGGGAACTATGATACTTTGTGCAAAGAAGTTAGCATACTGGGAACAAAAAGGTTAACCTCTTCAAATTTCAGAATGACTCTAAAAATGACCAGCCTCCCTTCTAACATTTGAGGACCAAAGATTCCAAGAGAAATGCTAACACTGTGATGATTAGCAGGGAGTAAAAGGTTAACACCATGGTTTGCTTTGGTCTGAGGCCAACTTTTTTGTAGTTTCTGTGACCACACTGAGGTCTCACAGTGGCTGACTGGACTCATCTTTGTACATAGACCATTGGATTTACTTCCTAACATTGCAAACTCAGTGTTATATTTTTATATACAATCTAGAACATAGAAATAATTGGTATCAGTAATGTTGGAATGTTACATATTACTAAGCTGGAAAAAAAGAAAGGGAGCAACAGAAAGCCTCCCTTTGCTATAATTTTCATAGTCTGTTGCTGCTATTCCTTCTATGCTGTGCATGAAAGCTGTTTCACTCCCAGCTGACATTCACGGAAAGGTAATGCTGTCCTCAGCTTCATAGCTGAGTAAAACTCAGTTTCCTCCTCTGTACATGACATCAGAACTGGTGCTTACTGGGGCAGTGCATTCACCAGTGAAAAGGGATCAAAATGAAGCAGCTTCAGTTCAAGTTGAAACTTATAGCTTCAAGCAGGACAATGTAGAGGCAGAAAGTTGAAAAAGTGAGCTCTGCCATGTCCTCTCTCCCCTGAGAGGAGGGATGTCTGCCCTGGTCCAGACATCCCTCACTGCAGCAGTATCAGCATACTCTTAGTGTAAAGAGGGAGTCAAGTCCACTGGTACTGACAAGCCAGTGATTTTAGGCTTCTGCAGCTCTGGGGGAATTGGTCTAGCTGGAGAGGGGTGAAAATGAGGGCAGAGTCAGGCCCAAAATATTTGGCCTGGCTGGAAGCAGAAACCAGGCCTTCAGCATTTTGTTCGAGCTACACAGTAAAATCCTTCAGTGCAGCCTATTCAAAATGCACGACACTCTCTGCAGAAATGAGACTGGGCATGCCTGCCAGGAGCCTTGAGGCGAATGCTCTCTCCCATTTACCAAGGCACTGCATCATCTCCTAGGCTGAACCATGTTGTTGTCAGTATTTACAGATTCACTGAGATGCATCAAAGTACCCCCAGCAGAGACACTGAACTGCACGGCCTGCCACCGAGATTTACTGTCTCTTCGGCATATCGGGGGGAGCAGGCACTGTACACACACGCGCACACACGCACGCGTGCGTGCACACAGCCCGAGGGAGGTAAGTCCAGCCCCCAACAGCGGGGCCATCCTTCTGCTGCTGGATTTTTCCAGCCAGAGCATCTTGCCGGCTCTGCTGTAATTTATGGAAATTGGTTTCTGACGTGGGGCTTTTTCTATTACGACAGGGACCCACTGACAGGAGGAGGCAGAGCTGCAGTCAGGGCAGGAGAAGAGAGGGAGAGGAAGAAGTGGGAAGCAGGGGGACACCGGGGGAGTGGAGAGGACAGAGGCAGAAAAAGGCACAGAGACACTTCAGAGATGAGTGAGTTATAACTAAGAGCAGGCAGAAAGGCAGAGAAAGGGAGAGAAGGAGACCTGCGAGGAAGGAAAAGGGAAAGGAGCTCAGAGACTGAGTCAGCCTTAGGAGGGCAAACACCAAGAGACGAGTTCAGGGGACACGCCAGCATATCAAGAAGGACCCATTCTGTCTGAATCTTCACCATGAGCACAAGGAAGAGCTGCCCCCTGCCACTGGGGCAAGGAGACCGGGAGGAAAAGCAGAGTAAGGGTACTCCTGACCTGGAGCGACAGGAGTGTGAGGTGGAGCTGAGGAACAAAGCTATTCTGCAACAGAAGAGGCGCCTTAAACAGGCCACCCAGTTTGTGCACAAGGACTCTGCTGACCTGCTGCCCCTGGACGGCTTGACAAGGCTTGGCACCTCCAAGGATCTGGTGAGTCCAGTGGGACCCCGTTTGGGAGGGGGGTCCTCCTAATAGCCTTCATCCCAGTTGGGAACTGCTGTCAGGCTTTGTGAAAGGGTCTTGGGTTCAGCAAAGGTGAAACTTCCCCTTGGCATCATCTAGGAGCAGGTCAGGGTGAGGGGAAAGAATGAATCACCCATTTTTTTTGCATCGATCTTCCCATGCATCCCCATAGGGACCAAACTCCTTGCAGAGGCAGGCAGGCATGGACTGGAAGGACTCTCCAGGATCCAACTTTCCACTCACCTGGTACATACATAGGTTCATCTGACATGTGTTTCCATGTGGGAGGGACATCTCTGAAAACCCCCATGTATTCCCGCATGATCCAGCTCAAAAGCAGACTCCTTCCTGGGCTCAGCAGGGAGAGAAGCACAGTTCATAAAACTCCGAGAGGTTTATGTTTGACATTGTCAATTTTTGCATTATTCTCTTTCCCCCAACTCTTTGGATTTCCAGAGGGGCAAGCACAGGGCAGCACTGCCAGCCAGGCACGCAGGCAGCTGCAGTGGCCAGCACCCACGGATGACACCTTTGGGGAGGAGGCACAGGAGTGAGGCCTGTGGGTGTCTCCTTGTGGAGACGTGGAGCAAGAGGCATCAGGGAGGGGATCTGTTCCAGGAGCCTGGGCAGTCTGTGGTCTGGGGGGGCTTGCCCAAGGCCGGGAGCAGTTTCCCATGGGATCTCTTGCTGGCTTAACTGCACGCATCTCCCCCTTGCTCTGGCAGTTTTGCTGTCTAACTTCTCCTCTCTGCTGAGGAGCTTAACTGCTCAAGGATGCGGAGGTCTAAACCCTTTTCCCAAAAGAGGGCCTGGGTCTGGCCAGCGATGGGGGCACAACCCCTTATTCCAGCTGTGCCAGCGGGTGTCATGAGAGATCCTGCCCCTCCCCGCAGCCCGTGCTTCCCTCTGTCTCCTCCGACCATCGCAGCACCACCACGGATGCTCACGCGTGTGTTATCTCCTCTGGTTGTTTCCCGGCCCCACGGCTGAAGGGGGTACAGGGGCACACGTGTGCGTGCGAGACAGGCAGGGGCCCAGGCTCTGGGCCGGAATGGAAGCTATCCTCCTCGCCGAAACCTTCGCCCGCAGCGGCTCCGCCGCGCGCAGCCGAGGGGTCAGGGCCACGTCCCCGTGCCCGTGCACCCTCCTGCTCCTGCCACCCTCCCCACAGCCGCCTCGGCCGCTGCTGGGAGTCCTTGGCCGGGCAGGGTGGAGGGTGGCTCCTCAAAGTCACCCTGAGCTGTCGCCTCACGCTCTGGCAGCCCTTTGCAGCCGCGCAGGCGGCTTCGGCAGGGACTGGCCTCCAGCGTCCCTCTTGGCCCCGAGCGCGGTCGCTGCCTGAAGTACAAGAGGGGAGGCACGTTAAGTGAGGAACGGGGTCTCTCCTCCCCGCGGGGAAGGAGGTCTGGACACCCCTTGAAGGGCTGGCAGCACGGGCAGTCTAGCACTGGCCCTTCGCGCCCTGCAGCGCTGCAGCTGAAACATCTCCTCGGGAGGGGACAGCCAGACGTACCCCACGGCTTTTCCTTGTACAGCTTTTGGCAGGGAACGGGGAGGAGCCACTCCTGCGTTTGCTGAGCCCATCCACAGAGGCAGAGAGAAACGCGTCTGCCTGCTTTGCTTTGGAATTGTCTCCTGTCACACCGTGCCCCAAAACGACAACTGCGGTGACAGCCAGAGGCCTCCGTGAGAGTCCCGCACAGTACGGGTGGGAGCCTTGGCCTCCAGAGGCTGGCACTCTGAAGCCCCAACTGCTTGCTCTAGCGAGACAGGCCCTTTCCAAATTGCTTGCCACAAACAGCAATCCTGGTCAAATTAACCGTTCTAGACTTCCTCGCATGCAGACGGTGTTTGGTCACTGAAAACCACTGCATAGTTCATGTTCAGTCCGTAACACAATGGCTGAAACATTTTTACCATGGAGCTAGGGAGCAGTGAAGAAAGCATAGCATCTTTTCTGCCACGGAAATTCCGCACTGGCCTTAGAAGGCACAAAATAAAGTGTGGCACCTGTGCAAATTTTGCACACATAGTGCCATACCTGGGGTCAATGCGGTAGCTGCGGTACCTCTGTTTCTGGTTTGCCTTAGAGCCAGAGAAGAACCAGGCCTTGGATTTACAAGAGCAATTCAGCAGTCCCTGCAACTTGATGGGCTGGTGTGATATTGCTGTGATGTTTTGGGGGCTATGCTTTCAGGCACTCCTCCAGCCCCAGGCAAAACTCCATCTATGTTTCCTAAATTGATCGGGCTCCCTCCTGGAGGACAGGAATACAGGGCTGAAAACAAAGCAGCATCAAGAAGTACTGGAGAGGTTGGTTTTGGAGAAAGTGCAAAACACCTCAGAGTCCTATAGCACTGGGAGGAGAGTTTAATTAATTCCCTAAAACTTGTCTCCATTGACAGTGCCAGAGACTCCAGCTGTGGCAGCCCCGCATGCCCTAGAATTAGAGCAAGGCCCCATGTCATTTAAAAAACCTGTGTTTTCTTTTACAGTCAAAGTCAGGCTGCTACTTTTTGCCACTCCTTTCTGTGTATTCCGGGAATGCATTCAGCTTATGCAATGCATCCAGCAGTGTCTGGGATTTGATGGGCCCATCACATCCCTAACAATGAGAAATTACACATTTCAGTGGAGATCTCACACTTCCACCTTTATAACAACTACAATCATGACACTTTTTTTTTTTTTTAAATGGAAAAAAAAAAAGAAAAAGTAGCTGCATGAGCTAAAATATTCTGAAAGTACCAAGAAGGTCTGAAGATCTGGCTTCTCCCCTCCCCAAAATCAAGATCCCCCGCTCATACCACTTCACTAATCATAGCAGGGCCTTGAGATTTCACATTGGAGAGCCTGAATGTGATGAGTGGCACTGGGAACCTGCTCTGACCCTTCTAAGAGTGCTGAGCGGGTCTCCTTTCTTCCAGCCGCTGGCCACAACTCCCTACAAGTCGTCCCTCACCATCCTCTTCATCTCATTGTTTCTTACCAGCCCAAGAGAGACAACATCTCCACTTCTCACTGGTGAGACAGAAGACAGGGAGGGCCCCACGAGTCTGCTCTTGAATCAGATGCCTCCATGGTCCCAAGGGTCAGCTTCTCGCCATCAGTGCTTGGCCTCTTCCCAGCCCGAGTGACAAGAAGGGGACAGAGGTGGCAGCTGCAAAGGGCCTGCTCTTTCTGTGGGAAAGGTTGCGGGGAGAGGGAAAGGTCCTTTGCATGCCAGATTGTGAGAGGAGACAGGAGGGAGGATGGGAATTTGGAGACCTGCTGTCGGTTCCCTGCCCTTTTCCCATGGCCCAGATGTTAGCTGGCAGCCAAACTGGCACTGTGCTCAGGGTATTTAGGGAGTGAAGTACAACGGCCAGCTGTGCCGTGGGCCTGCGCAGTAGGGCTGGGAAAAGACCAGGAACATAGGGATATTTTTACCTCACTTTTTCAACTACTGCAGCGTCTCTCGTGCAGCATGTGAAGGATCTGACTCTCGCCCCTCGAGTGACAGGGAAACAGAGGCACGAGGGACTCGGCACCTTGCAAAGAGCAATGCTGAGTGCAACCAAAGAGCCAGTAACAGCTCTCCTGCCCCAACCATTGGGCAAAACTGACAAGTCAGTGTGCTTCGAGTTGCAATTCACACACTTCCCTGGCCTCAGCCCTCTGACCAAGGGTAAAGCTAGCCTGAAGCACACACACTCTGTAGGGTTAATACAGCCCAGCTCACTGGCAGGTCTGGTCTAATTTAGATGTTTGCCTGCACATTGATAAGATTCTATGTCAAACTGCTGCACCATCTGGAAGCTGATTTTTAAATTTTCTTTTGAGAAAGATAAAAGCAATGGTTTATGCTGTAGCACATTAGCCCCTTTAGATTCATTGCCCTTCTTCACATAGGCAATTGTTACTGAGAACGCTATTGTCAGCTCTGAGCAGCTGCTCTTCTGGAGAATGGACATGGGGCCAAGTACATGGACAAAGGACAAAGCTACCTCCAACAGGCTTACTTCACTGATGCTGCCCATTGTTGATTCAGTAGCTGTGCAGGGACTGGAGGCACTGGATCAACACTGGGCAAAAACCAGAGCATCAAGGTGATGACAAAGGGAGCTTTCTTTCCAAAGCAACGCTTTCCTGTGTGCGTATGCAATGTCAGGACAAGAAGTTTTTCACAATTTTTCTTCCCTTTAGGTGCACCTCCCCTTCTTCTGCCCAGAAGAAAGGAAAAACATGAATGAGATAAAATATGAGATACATGAGATATGAATGAGGTACATGACAGGAATAAAGTTCCTTCAGCCGTTGATCTAGCTCATGGTGCTCCCTTTTAGCTGTGAACAACATAGGGCTTCATAGATGCTCCCCCAACTAGGAAAGGAGTCAAAATAGTATCACTTCTGATGGAGGGGAGCAGAGACAGACTCCAAAGAACATTAGAAGATAGTTTTAGTTTCCTATGCACGGGAAGCTTCCCACTTCACTACAAATAATTGCTTGTACACCTAAAATTTCTGGAGTCCTGCCTTCTTACCCACACGTCCATCACACACACTACGTCCCCCATCCCCTCCCACATTAGAAGGTGTGAGTGTGCCTGGTTGGATGTCAGCACACACCCACCAGGTAGTGTATTGCAGTACCTGAACAGGTATGAGACTGCCAAGTCTCATGTTTAGCTGAAGGAACAGGTATGTGTGGGGAGAGCATGCATCAGGCATGCTCTTCTCCAATAATTGCATTTCAGAGACCTGCCTGTCACAGACATCCCAACACTTTAACATCACCTTAGTGGTTACAGAAAAAATCTTGGGATTTAGAGGAAGGTTTTTGGGATAAGCCTGTCTTTCATCAGGATGATCGGTTGGGTCAAGCATTTGCAATCTCCTTCCCCGGGCTAGCAAATGTCCTTGTCCTTAGCTCCATACTTAGCTGGGATTTCTCTTTCTTTGTGATGGAGACAGCAGCCACATAGTGTGGTCCAGCGGCGCCTCTTGGAAGGCAATCTGAACAAGCTGCGGGGCGAGACCAGGGTTCAGTCTGCACGGGTTCAATCTCCGCTGGCAAAAGACCAGGATGAAAAGATGGAAAAGGGAGAGGACAGGAGAAAAGAAACTTCACCCCTGCTAATACAGTGCCAGGTAAGGCAACAACACCGTGCTGCTGATTTCACAGTGATGGCAAATACTCAATGAGTTCCATCTGCCCCACTCCCAAGGGCCATGCTAAGTTATTAATTGCAAAGCCAGCTGCAGCCAGAGAGAACAGATTTCCTGCATGGCTTCTCCTAGGGTTTGGATTCAGTTATTCCAATAGACAGAGGAAAGCCTTCCTGCCATTTGCACTCTAGCTGTCCATACTAGAAGATAAATTACCTTAATCACATCTTCCTTTGGAGGCCAGCTTTCCCATGATATGAGGTGTTTCATAACTGCATACAGAAGCAAGGAATGTCTCCTTATCACTTTAAGAGAGGTGCCCCTAGCCGATTTACACTTACTGGATCCAGTCTGGTCTGATTCTCTTAGGTGTCAAAGGACCTCCTAAGAAAGTGGCTAACTGTGCTCTGAATTAGCACTGTTGCATTTCTTGATGGAAGCAGTATTTTTAGCTCCCTCTTCTTCTTATATCCTCCTATACAGCAGAACATGCTCCTCCCTGGCCCCTGTAGGTAAGAAAGCACATCCAAAAGCTGTGCCCCATGAAGCACGTCTGCATGCTTAGAGCTGTTCAGTAATGTGCAGATATGAGACTCACCAAGATGTAGACCTGGTATACAAAATCCATTTTAAAGCTGTGTTTATTTCAGTTACCGGTCCTAAAGAACATCTCCCATGTTAGAGTGTAAAGCCTACACTTCTAGGAAAAACACATATACCTCCAAAAATTCAGTTGGTACAATTAGTTACCATATGAACACAGCCTTGTAGGAAGTTTCTGAAATGTTCAGATCAAGTGTCCCAGTACCATGCAAAGCCACTGTCTGGTTTGTTCTCCAGCCTTTACTGTTGCAGTTAAGCATTGCTTACCCTGGGTTTTGGACTCTGATGTAGCTAGGCTAATGTAATCATATTTGGGAAAAGAGACTAGTGGGATGAATGGCTCTCAATATAATGTCTCCAAATAATTGCAGTCTTTTTTTGAGCAAATGAAAGTGTTTATTTTTCTTTAATCACCAGTCTGTGCTGTTGTGTAAGAGGAAACTCAGTGATAAAGGGTGTTTTTTTGCCAGGCAGGTACATCAAACAAGGACAGGCATGCATAGGTATCATATCCCAGGGGCAGTAGCTAACTCTGCGTCAGGGTCCACTACTCGTTCCCCTTTTGTGTTTCTAATGGACTGTACCCCAGCTGTCACACACATTATATTTTCCTTCATGGAGGAAAGTTAATGAACATGACAGTCAAGGAAATAGGTCTAACGCTGCACTTAACTCTCCCTGAACTCAATACCTTCTGCACAGGCATTTCTCTCTTTTTCTGCCCTTCTTAAGAGCCAGTCACAGTTTGCCACAATTAATCTTCTCACATTGAAGGAAGGGAAGCTCTCCTCCCCTTTTTTTTTTGTCTTGCTGCTTTTCATGTTCACATTTATTTATGAACTTCAAAAAGCCTTGCCTGCAAGTAACAGATCTACAGCAGGAAATAGCACTCAGGCTGCCAGTTCATTTCAACCAGAGGGGTGAGCCGGTAGCTTTTGGAGAACTGCGTGACTGTGGTGTAGTTTTTATTAGAAATGGAACATGACCCCAGTGAAGTCTCTTCTCTCTGACAGCAGTGCTTGAGAAAAGATCATCTACCAGCATAATGCTTCCATTTACACTCAAGCAAGTATGCTGAAAATTCCGAAGTAGTAACAAATGCGTCACCTGACTAGTAACTGAATTTGACTAGGAAATAAAGCTGAATATATGTGGACTTCAGTGATACAGGGAGGTTCAGGCAATGTTTGCTCTAACAGGTTATAGTTGCCCGATGCCTAAGGCCTTTTTAAGTTTCAGAGATCACAGACAGACCCAGTCTATAATAGTTGTATTGCAGAGTCACTCACCCTCCTATTTACTTAAGTGGGTTGCTCACATGGTACTTTAGCAGAATTGCCCTTTTTTTGTGACAGTTTTTTGCAAATCACTTTGGAAAGCTGTCATGACTGGCATCTGCATCATAAAATCAAGCTGTCATTTTTTTGTGGTGGGGCTTGTCTCTCGTTGACTTGGAAATAGATACTGAAAGATTCCACTGCTGTCCAAGGCTGCTTTTCCTCTGTGCCAGAGCAACCTGGGATTAATCAACCTTGGTTGGTTAAAGGAGCTTCTTGACTTTGGAACTGTCGTGGTTTAGCCCCAGCCGGCAACTAAGCACCACGCAGCCGCTCACTCACTGCTCCCCCCCGCAGTGGGATGGGGGAGAAAATCAGGAAAAGACGTAAAACTCGTGGGTTGAGATAAGAATGGTTTAATAGAACAGAAAAGAAGAAACTAATAATGATAATGATAACACTAATAAAATGACAACAGTAAAAATAAAAGGATTGGAATATACAAATGATGCGCAGTGCAGTTGCTCACCACCCGCTGATCGAGGTCCAGTTAGTCCCCGAGCAGTGATCCCCCTGCCCCCACTCCTCCCAGTTTACATACTGGGCATGATGTCACATGGTATGGAATACCCCTTTGGCCAGTTTGGGTCAGCTGCCCTGGCTGTGTCCCCTCCCAACTTCTTGTGCCCCTCCAGCCTTCTTGCTGACTGGGCATCAGAAGCTGAAAAATCCTTGACTTTAGACTAAAGAGTACTTAGCAACAACTGAAAACATCAGTGTGTTGTCAATATTCTTCTTATAACTAGCTCAAAACCATAGCACTATACCAGCTACTAAGAAGACAATTAACTAGCCCAGCTGAAACCAGGACAGCAACTGACATTATTTCAGGGAAAAAAAGCTCTTTATAAATGGTGGTCCTTGCTGATTCCCCTCCCCTCTTTCTCTTTCTTGGAAATCCCCATAACTGACCTTTAGAGAAAGACTAATGGTGGCTGGTAGTAACAGACTGAAAATTCTGGGGCAGAGATGAGAGTGGGTAATGTGATGAAAAGTCCTCTTAGTCCAGGAAGGCTTGCAGTGCTCATCAGCTGCCTGTGTACTCCTTACCTAATCTGCATTGTATTTGTGGTATGTTGGATCAAGGACTCTCTTCAGGCTCCTGGTGAGTTCTCTGGGCAAATAATTAGTGGTATAATTGGAAGGTGGATAGCTTTTGTGAGGCTGCTGGAGCTGATAACTGTGCAGGGCTGTTTACCATTGAATGAGATGAAATGGTTTCTACAGAATTATTACTGTCCTATTATACCCTAGCAAATTTCTAAATTGCAACTTTCCCAGCCTGCTCTGAAACAAAACTCAAGAACCTGCCTAGCAATACAGTTTAGGTTTATTATCACAACAACACTAACAGCTCACACATCTCAGGTCTGCCTGCTCCCAAAGTGATTCCTTAGCAATTGCTGTCCAAAGTCCAGGTCTTCAGTTTCTGAAGAGCTGATACAATGCCTTTTCTGTAGCTAGGCAATGAACAGTTGGCTTCTGTGAGCCACAGGGATGGGTAACTCTTTCCCAGTAGAATCCACGTCTGTTAATGAGGAAGAGCTGATTCAGCTGGACACTGGTGGCAGGTTGCAGTCTGGGCAGATGTGGTAGCATACCTGACCTGACACTCATGGCTAATATACCTGCTTAAGGGGTTAGGAGGCACAGGAAAGCCTCTTCTATGAAGCACAATACAGAGGATGAGGAGGCAGATGCTTGGCATGTATCGGCACTTTGTGCTTTATCTTCCTTCCCTGCTTAGTCTGGCCACAATCCTTCCAGGCAGGGCTGATGTGTCAGTGAGGACCTGACAGCACAGACATTACAGAGCTCTAAAAGCAGAAGGGGAGGCATTTTGTCACAGAATCATAGAATGGTTTGGGTTGTAAGGGACCTTAAAGCTCCTCTAGTTCCACCCGCCCTGCCGTTGGCAGGGATAAGGGACTGTCCCTGGGTCCAGTCAATCTCCAGACTCTTTTCTCTCTGGAAACCTGGACTTTGTAATACCAGCTTTTGCCACAGACGGCTGTTGTCATGACGTAAGGTGGGATCTCCCCAGTTGGCCTTGGGGACCTCTATGGACAGGCACTACTCCTAGTCCTGAATGTTTAAACTTAACATGGCAGGCACCCTGGAGCCATGAAGGCAGTGTTTTTTCTTGAAGAAGCAGAAGCATTGCCAAAAAGTCGGGAGCTTCTAAATAGAGTGCTTTGCAGCTCTTCCCTCTTCTGTGAGGCTCTGGCATGCTCCCCCACTTGCTTAAGGCAGATTTGTGCCAAGAGGCAGGAGGCATGCATGAGCGAAGGGCAAGAGAACGGGTGTGCATTCTGGGAACAGGCAGCAGCTCAGCTGGGAATCCTACCAGCTCGGTCATGGGTGAGCTGCATTACCATGGGATGGCAGTTCAGGCTGCTCCATAGTGAAACAGGACTGCTCATTTTGAAGGAGCTGGGGGAATACTCCTGTATGAATGTGCGAAGAACTGCAGGGAAGGCTTCTGGGGGCTGGTTTCTCTGTGGTCTGACTCTGTCTCATGAATCTTCCAGCTGGTATCAGGTCAGTTAAGTTTTGTGTTCTCCCAGCCTGTGACTTTGTAGTTCTGTGGCAATTTCATGTGCCAAAGAGTAGCCTTGGATTGAATGTAGATGCCAGCGTGCCTGAGACTGTGAGAAGCACATGATAAAATGGGGAAGGCACAGTGCTGGCAGCCAGAAGTTTGTGAGATCTGTCTTGGCTGTGGCTTTCCTAAAGTATTTAGCATTATATGCCTCACTTGGGTGTTGTAAGAAGTCACAAGTGTTTGCAGTCACACAGGACTGTTAGTTAATTGGACGTAATTCTTTATGAATAAGACATGCTTTTTTACATTAAAGAAGAAAAACTGTAATAACCAAATCAGGAGCTGTTGAAGATATGCATCTGTGCATATTTTCTGTGTAGATACTGCTTGAGCACTGCTCTCCTTGATCCTGGATGAGGCCACACATGGTGAATGCTCTTCCTTCTAAAACCACTGACGTTATTTAAATATACATCTCATATATATATATATATGAGTTTTACATGATTCTTAGTGAACTCTGTAAAACAATATAGGTTGAGATCTCTAGCTCCAGTGGTCTTGCAGTTCTTGAGAATTTCTCAACTAAGTGGCCATTCTAGGAACATAGTGTTTCTAAATGTTCAGAATGATGAAATTGTCTACACTGATGTACTGCAGATGCAGTTTAGACCAGAGGAGGAGCTCCAAGACAAAACAGACTTGAAGTTTCCAGCATGTGCTCTGAGGTTGCCTTGAGTGCTATTAGCACTCAAGCTACTATCATCGGTGTTGTGTCTGTTTGCAGCATTCCAGTATTTCTCACAGCAGTTGTTTTCTCCTTTCTCTTTATAATAACTCACAGATAGCACATTTTTGAAAATGAAATCTTGGAAATACTGGATGTAGCTCTCTGTGATGATTAACCCAGGTAATAATCATAAACAGATTTAGTTAAGAAAGTGGGAAATTGAGACATTTTCCTTGACCCTACTGGTGCTGCACTGAGTCCCCAATAGTCACACTGATGTGCTTAAGGTGTTCAAAGCATTTAAGTTTGTCAGGAATGAGCACAAGGGTAGAGGAGCTGTGGGAGGTCTGTTGCTGATTCCAAGTGGCTCACGGCACTGAGTGCCATAGTGGATTGAAGAGAAAGAATCACAGGAAAAATACAAAATATAGCAGGAGGAAAATGAATGTCCCAAGATGGAAACTTTGTGATTGATTTTTTTGGGGGGTGTTAGTGCAAGACAGAGCCTTGAAGAACTAGGATGTCAAGAATGGGTATGGTTAGGCAGTATAGGTAGGTGCAAGCTGTATTTGGTAGATGGCAGTTGCTCCATCTTTTCCAGTTCCTTTAGCAAGCCCTGCTCCTCATTTTTTTTTTTCTGAACATAACTCTTATTGATGTCCTTGATGACCCTATTTTTTCAGACCTCTACCATACATGAGAACTGCTGGTACTTCAGGACCTCTGGCCTGCCATTAAGGACCTCTGTGTAGAGGGGACAGGAAACATGGCAACCACATCTCCTGTTCCCTTTCAAGTGCAAAGGGGTGAAGAAATGAAGCAGGCAAGACACTGGGGATTATTCCAGTAAGATCATGCAGAGGTGACTTGGGTGCAGGGCATCCAGTCTCTCCCTTTGCTAGACAACACCAGCTGTGAAAAATGTAGTTGTAGCATTCAGGTCATTTTTCCCTAAAGAGCTGCCTAGGAACTTAATGTAAGCCTCCCACAAAGTAGACACCTCTTGATTAGGTTGTTTCTTGGATTCAGGAGTCACCCCTGGATGTGTCAGTGATCTTGGGAACTGTCTTAAATTCAAGCTCTTCTCAGGGATGCTTGTCTTGGGTGCTCCTGCTTCTCCCACAGACTTCTCCCTCTGGAAGCTGTTCAGCTGAGAACAGACATCTAGCCCTGGAACATTGCTCCCTGTGGCACCAGAAGAAATGGAGAGAGGAAACCCACAAAGACTGTAGCACATGCTTATATTCCTTTAGAAGCTTTTGTCATATCAATTATTGCTCCATTAATAAAGTCCATGTGGGTTTTCTGAACAGATTCACCAGTTATGCATCTCTTGACTGGAATACTGCTAAGTTAAAGTTGCTAATAACAGATAAGGGTTTGGGCAATCAAATACAAATTAAAGAAGACAAATTCAAAAAGAAGCCTTTGGCAGAGGTTTGCAGAGCCCTGGGAAGACCACCATTGTCTTGGATGAGTCTCCTGCCTTCTGACTACTGTCTAAAACACCACATCTTTGGCTGTGTTGCTAAGGAAAGTCTAAGGGATTGTCACACTGTTGGAGGAGTGGGTATGCCAATTATGAGTCCACAGTAATTATCTGTTGTTGTTTTTTCTAGTGCCAAGGTCAGGTATTGAAAGCGACTGTTAACACCGGGTGTCTACCAAATCTCATCTCCAAGAGCTGTTTAAACCAGCTGGGGTAAGTCTTTGCACAGTAGAAAAGGAGGGGTGGCTAATTGAAAACCTACTGCAAGAACCTAGGCACTCTTGATTCCCAGCCCCAGTGATAATTACTAGCAGCTTTGCATGTGCACATGGCTGTTTAGGAGAAGATGCAGAGGGTGGGCTACAGGGTAAGGCATCAGGAGCACTGGCAAAGTTGTGTGCAGACCCCAGACGAGGAGGCAGAGCTGTGTCATTCTGTCTGTGTGTACTGCAGGGCAAAGCTGCCCAGCTGACGTTTAGCCTCAGCGGTGAGGAACCCAAATGGACAGCGCCTTATGGTTTTGCTTGTGGAATCTGCCTCCAGACATACTGTATGAAAGATTCCTCCTTTTGTGGGCCTGTTCCCAATGAGACCAAGAAGTACTGCCATCAGTGAGAAGTCCTGTTTTTCCTCCTCTTCCTCCACTTGAGGCAATAACACCTCTTGTGTCCCACAGGCTGGAAGAAGTATCTGCCATGGACTGTGGAGACCTCTCTCTTCCCATCCCCAGCGTTGTTGGCCGAGTAGAACATATGGAGTTGCAATTTGGCCAGGAGACAGTGCTGTGTTCAGCACTGGTTGTAGGTGAGAGTGCCAGCCCTTCCTCTCCCCCAGTTTTCCTGTGTCCCTCTTGCCCTGCCAAGGGCACTTAAAAGGATCTCTGGGAAAAGCATGAATACCCTCAACGTAACCAAAGGCAAAGGGCATAGGAAGAGTACAGAGAAGACAGAAGACATTGAAAGTGGGGAGAAATGAGGTGCTTTTTGGTCTTAACACAGGATGTGGAAAATTCTCATTTCCTTCTAAAATGGACCTTTCTTAAAATTATCCAGACTGCTTGATTAGTCCTCTGGTGCCCTCTGTTCTCCTATTGAATGGGCACTTCTGTCTTTGGCTGGATGGAAGTCATAAGAGAAACTGACTGAAGGTACAGCTTACTCCCCAGAGTGTTTCTCTGTGTACTCATCTGCCTCTGCTGCAGGGAGCACCCTGGAAGAACCTGGTAGCCCCAGAGTGCTGAGTCTCCCTCGGTGTCCTGAGGCAGGACCCTTTGAAGGAAGGAGCCGTAGGAGACAAGGTCAAGTCAGCAGGTGCTGGAGCACACCCAGAAAACAGCAGAAAGGCTGCATGTTCTGCATTTACATCAAGCTGTGCATATGCTGAAAATAACTTAGTTGTCTTTTTTCCCCCTGTTCTTTCTCCCTATTAGTCTTTCAGCTTTACCCTCTTGCCTTTATCTGTCTCCTCATCTTTGACGAGCACTATTCATCTTCCAAGGCCTCCCTTGCTCCCTCGTTTCATGTCCATTCTTCCCACTTTCCTAGTCATCTGGAAAGAGCTTCCTCCTCTTCCACACTCCAGCTCACTCTTCTTCCCTGGTTTCCCCTCTGCTTGTTCTTACCCTGGGGAGTCTATCAGTACCAGCACAGGTGAGTTTAGCCCAGTAGCACCTACCCATTTTGCTGGAATGTGGAAATGGCTGCCTGGAAGGAGCAGAATTGCTACAGCTGTGCCTGACATCTCCCTGTGCACACAGTGCTCTTGCTTATGTGGTTATAAACAAATTACAAAATACAGCCACTGGCTACAGGGCAAGGAGGCATCCAGGAGACATAGGAAGTGTTAATGATGTTACTGGTGGCTGCTGAATCCTGCAGACTCCAGGACCTGGGAATTCCGCCCTCCCTGCCACTGAAGTCCAGATGGATGACTCTAAGACCTAGGAGGTCACTCTCGCCCAGTACAATGCATGTTCTTAGTGGCAGGTTTGGACAGTAACAAGGCTGAACCCATGTTCCAGAGAAGCACGTACAGAGAGGACACAGACAAGGCCAGCCACACAGATTACCAGACATAGAGCAGTGCCTTGACCAGCACTCGCATAAACACCAGCACAGATAGCCCAGTCCCGGTCCTCCTCTCTGGCTGACCAGGATTGAAGTTCACTGGCAGAAGCTCATACATCCTCAGTCTCTAGATTCACAAGCATACTCATATTCACAGAGTCTTCAAATAACAGCACAGCTTCTAGGTCTGTCTTATATCTACATCTGGAGCCTGAGCCCCTTACCTAGCCACTGACCCAGACCTTGAGTCTTTCCAGATGCAGGTTTCCTGCTACTCACTGGCTAGACCAGACTGCAGTTTGCTAGCTAATTATGTATACAAACCCACAAGCATATAGGATTAAATTCACTGGGGAAATATAAACACACCCAAGCCTTTCTAGTTAGTGGCATTTCAACCTCTCACACATATGCCCTGTCCTCTTCAGTTGCTGGCTGATAAACCTAAGGCCCCTGTGACCCTGGTCAGAGTTGGTACCCAGAGCTCTCTTGCATGCTGATCTCTCCAGTTGCTGGCACCTAGACCTGCAGACCCATAGTCCTCCAGTTACTGGTACTTAGACTTTGCAGCACACATTGCAGTCCCTCCAGTTGCTGGCACCCAGGTGTATAAGCCCTATGGCCTGTTCTCCCTTCCCCAGTTACTGGCATGGCACCCAGACTTCTCTTGCACACTGGTCTCTCTAGCTGCTGGCACCTGTGAGCTACGTCCCCTTCTCCAGCTGCTGACATAGACCTAGGAGCCCTATGGCCTGTGGTCCCTTCAGTTGCTGGCACCTCTCTTGAATGCCAGTCCCTCTGGTTGCTGACGTCTAGAGCTCTTTGCCCTTTAACCCGTGGCATCTTCTACACTTGCTGACACTTAAGACTTGCAGCAGTCACATGTAGGATAGAGAGGTTACACAGAAAACAATTCCTTGATGAAATTATTTAATAAGAAGATTAGACAGATTGCGGCCATCAGGCACAGGGTTTGGTCAGACAAGTGAACTGACTGACAGCCTGCTTGCATGTGACTGGCCCTTTTATCCCCTCTCCTCTCCATTTTTCCATGCCTGTTGTTCCCTGATCCACCCTGCTGCTTGCCTTCTCCTGCCTTTGGCCCTTCCCCTACACAGATCATAGTAAGTTTTACATGACCCCACAAGACCCTTCTGATATCTCATAGTAAGTTTCAAACAATCCCACAAGCCCCCTCAAATATTTCATAATATTCGCGATAATCATGGTTCCCTCCTCTTATCAGCTACAAAGTTAATTTTAACCCTCTTCAGGGCTGTGCCTAAGTAGCTCCTTTAATAGCTCATCAGTCAGTGGCAGAAGACTGCTGGGCTCTGTTTCTGTCACTGTTACCACCTGCTTGTTAATGTTTGTGTGTTTAATTCATCACTTTCCCTGTTATTTGTTATTTACTTTATATGGAATAGACCATAACCATATAACTTTATGAGCCAGATGCTCTCATATTCCACATCCTCTTACAGGAGAGACACGCTTTCTTTAGAGGGGCAGTATATATAGTCTTAAGCCTGATCAGTCTCTTCTCTCTTCTCAGATGATGATATGCTGGAGTTTTGCATTGGTCTCCAGACTCTGTTGTCTCTCAAGGTAAGGAACAGCTTCTTGCTTATTGCAGGTTTCCTCTCAAGAAGTTCTCCAAGATTTGGTTGCTCTAAGCATCAGAAATACTTAGTCCAGGTCTTCCAGGGTGCCACTTGCAATGCTTGTTGCCCAGCTGCCTGTGGCATGCTCTGAGTCACTGATTCTTTTCCAGTCCTATCTTAAAGGTTTTAAGAAAGGAATCACCCAATAGGGTGCTATCGCATCTCCCATTCTTTGTATTCCTGACCATACAAGTTGCAAACAGGAAGAGGAAACAGAAGACCAGAGAAGACAAGGCACACTGTGTCATGAGTTCTATCTGTACTGCCTTTTGAAGGCAAATGTGAATAAGTTCTGCCCTCGCTTTGAGCCAGATGAAGCTGTATGATCACATTCAGTGTCCAACACTAGCTGGACACAAGCAGAAAGTCCTCTCCTTTTGTCAGCTCAGCTCAGGGGTAGTGCTCTGCTGAGCCTGGCTCCTGGGTGGCTCAGAATATGGCTGCAGCAGGCTTGCTCCTGCCTACCAAATATTTGTAGCCGAGTCAGACTCATAAAGCAGGAAAAGCATTGGGCTGAATGGCTGAGTGATGTGAGGACACGACCTCAGAGGGAGTCATAGAAAGAAGGGAGGGGAATGGCCCTGTGAAGGCTTTGGAGAGGAATCCATTGAAGGGAATAGGAGCAAGGAGGCAGCATGGGGGACAGGGAGGGGAACTCTAGGGTCTCTACAAACCCAAAGTGGGGTTGTTGGATGGTTATACAGGTTTTCCCCAGTCACAGATATCGTGAGATTTGCTATCTGAAATGTCCAGCAAGTAACTGGCTCTCCCCTTCTTTAGTGTTGCATCGACTTGGAGGAAGGAGTCCTGAGATTTAAAGCACTGAGTCAAGAGCTGCCTTTTCTACACACCTCTGAAGAGCCTGGTCAGTGACTGGCTGCATTCCCCATGTCTGGGGCTGAGGAGACTTGCTGCCATGAGAGAGAGACGAGGGTGAGGCTCACATGCCCCTAACCTTGCTGAGTTCTAGGCTGAGGCATTCACTGGGGAGTGAGAAAAAGGCAAATGGGTGCTGGAAGCTGTTGTTGCTGGGAGTGCCTCATCTTGAGAGATAACCCTCCTATCAGTGGACCCTCTTGCTTGTTCCCATGTATGCCAAGTGGGCATTTTGTTCTTGTTTTTCTATCTGTCTCTAGTCACTCCAATGCCTGCTTCTCTACTAAACTCACCCTACCCTTTTAATGACTTATTTTTACAATAGCCTCTGTTCATGAGACAAGAGAGTCTCTGTGAACAATCTGCAGTTGTTCTGTGGACAGGAGGACAGCACTTTCTCCAAAAGCCTCCAAAGATTGCCATGAATGCTTCCCTTCTTTTTGCCTCAATGTGAGCAGATTCTGCTCCCATTTCTTTGCGGGAAGGGCTCTGTGGCCAGTCCCCTCACCTGTGTTCTGGGAAGCTGGATTTTGTTACTTTTTGCTGGCTCAGAGCAGAACAGAAGTATTTTCTAGCAAAAATCTTGCAGCAAGAACACTTTTAGAGTTCTTAATTCTAAGAAACCTCTGCAGAAATGCTGAGCATAGATGTCTAGAGTACAGTGGACACTCACAGGGGCTTGGGCTTTGCCACTTTGCATCCTTGGCCACTAAGCTATATTATATGAATGGCAATGCTTATCATCTCTTGGTGTTATACGTGGTAACCAGACTTGCACACCCTGTTCTTCTGACCAGGCCTCTCTTCTCCGCACTCCAGCTGCTAGAGCTACATTCCTATCACCTCTGCTGCATCATCAGAGTTCCTGCCACTCAGTTTAAATGCTGCAATGGATTACAGTACCCAGAGTCTTCTGCTCTGTAAGCTCCTTTCTTTCAACTTGAAATCTAGTGATTGGACACAGATACATGGTCAGCCTCAAGTCCCAGCATCTTACAGCCTACCAACTTTGCTACTCCTGCATGAAACAAGAACTAGACTTCCTCACAGTATCAGCTCAGGTCAGAGAACTGTGAACTCATCTGGGATGACCAGGGTGATTATTAAGTCACTTAATTGTTGAGGGTTTTTAATTTTTTTTTTTTTAATTGCATCCTAAAGCATAGCTGTGTGATAAATACATGCCTATTCTTTACTAGCTCTAGGAAAGATGCACCAGATCAGGGCTTGTTCCATGCCTCATGACTACTGATTCACTATCCAAACTCTGCACAATGTCCCTTTGTCCACCCTTAGAATGTCATGACATTCCCATTTTGCCTGTCTTCCTGGATTAAACACAGCTGGCTCTCTTCTTTTTTCATCAAGCCACTCATTGTTTCTGTTGTGCTTCTCAAAGAACTTGCGTATGCATTTTTGCTTTTTTGTTAGTTCTTTCCTAAATCCGATGCTGTATGCTGTAGTTTAACACATGCTAAGGACAGCTGAATACATCCTGGCTGATATGATTTGGGATGCACTTACCAGTGTTAGTTGGCGTAACTGGCATCTGCTTCTCCTACAAGCAGCATCAGGCTAGTGACTTTTATTGTTAGTCATCGTATCTTGCAGCTTCTGATCTGTTCCTTGGCTTCTTTGCCATTCTTCTACTTATGATCTGATTATTTCTGGCTGCATGAACTGCTTTCCATGAATCTCCTGAATGACACCAACAGTAGTCTCATTTATGTCAGGACCTATGTCTACTCAATGAGCTTGTCTTCCAAAGTACCAGTAATTCCTCCTGGATTTGTATCACCTGTGTGTCTGACTGGCTTCTCCAACCCAGGGGTCTTTAGTGACAGTTCAGACTTGTATTAAACCATCCTGTGTCTCAGCTGGAATCTACATGCTGCCTGGGTCAACTCTACTGAAAAAATCTGGTTTGAGATAGATGAAAGACCTGTTCCTATGTGCAGAAAATCACCTAGATTCCAACTCTCACTGCTCTCTAAAAATGGCATGTGGAACAATGGAAAACATTCTGCTAAAGCTGACAGATATGTCCATTACACCTCTTATTATTCATTAACTTTTACGATCTATTTAAAAAAAAAAAAAAGACAAACCCTAACCCTAAACATTAAATCTAACTCTAACCCTAACCCAAACCCTAAAACCTAAGCCTAAACATTAAATCTAACTCCAACCCTAATCCAAACCCTAATCCCTAACCCTAAACTTAACCCATACAACTAACCCTTACCCATAAACCTAATCCTACCCCTAAACCTTAATGCTGGCCCTAACCCCTAATCCTAAACACTAGCCCCTAACCATAAACCCTAACCCTAAACATAACCCCCTAAATCTAACTCCCTAAGACTAACTACCTAACCCTAAAACTAAACATAACGCTAGCTATAAATCCTAACCCCCAAACCTAACCCTAATCCCCAACCCTAGCCCCTAACCCTAACTCTGTCCCTAACCCTGACCCTAACCCTAAACCTTAACACGAACCTGAACCCTAACGATAACCTCTAACTCTAAACCCCTAGCCATATAACTAAACCTAATCCCTATCCCTGATCCAAATCCTAACCCTATCTGATGGCTTTTGCCAGTGCCTGCAAGGGGCCCTGCTTCCCTCCAGAGCACCCCCAGGGCTTTTGCCTGGCTCTGCTCATGCCCAGGCAGGTCTCTGCTGCCTTCCAGAACATCTGACAGCTTTTGCTGGGCTTTGCTGGTGCCCACAAGTGGTTGCCAAGGGAAGGGGAAGGCCACCAACAGCTTTCAGTCCTGGCCACTTCTGTGTGAGAGCCATGCCTGGTGGGTATCTGTTCTGGAGCTGGGCTCTGGCTAGGGTGAGGGTGTAGGTCAGTATGTCTTCCCGAACTCAGACTGAAGCCAACAGGAATCTTTCCAATGATTTAAAGGGTGCTGGATGGGATCTTACAGAAAATTGGCATGACTTTGAGTTGACAATTCTGACTAGTGCCAGTCACTCGCAGCCCTGCAGATACATGCACACTAGCTGCTGTTGGAATTCACCATGTGCTGTTCCTACATGTCAAGTCTTGGGATAACTCCGCTTTTGCTCACCTTCCGAACATCCTCCAGTCCTTCTAGAAGCCTTTCTGTGGTTCGCATGCCTCATTTCTCAGATCACTAACAGTTAGGTTCCTCTGAGAATTTATGTGCTACAGCAGGTGAAAATCCCCAGCCCTATCTGTCCCTCTCTTCTCTGCATAATGAATCCTTCTTTGCATCCTCCTTATCTTCCCCCAAGAGAATCACCCATTCTTCCACACTAGTAAGTGACAAATTTGCTTCTTCCAAAAGGAATTCTTTCCTTTTTAGATAATCCTTTTAACACTTTCCTGTACCCTGGCTGCTAATACTCTCCCACGTTGTGCCACTATCTTGCCAGCCTCTCCCTCTTTGTTGTTAAAAATTGCATGTATAAATGTAGACTGTGCCACTTGCCAGTCACGGAGAGGATGTTTCCAAGCAAGTGCTAAATTAGCATGTGAGAGCTCTTCTTTTCAGCTGTAAAAACAGCTCCAGAGCAGATGACATGCTTTTCACCTTCATCCTGTCTGTGTCAGTTGAACATGCAGGTCCACACAATAAAGGTCTCTTCCACCCAGACATTGAGGAATCTGTTGCCAACATTTATCCTGGAACCTCCCCATCAACCTTTCTTGCAGACAGAACTTACAGGAAAAAACATTTATATGACTAAATGAGAACTGCAGGTCATAAGACCATGGCTGACAAGTCACTTAAATTCATTCCCTAAATCCCAGTCTAATCCTACAGTGTCAGTACCTTGCTTCCTCATCATCAAACAGAACGCCTGGTGGGTCTCCATCTCCCAAAGTTTCTTGGCATTAAATGACATGTTGTTACTGACCTTAACACATGTATTCTGAATTCTTGCCCAAACTGGTGTTTTCTCTAAAGACCAGCATTTTTGTGTCATTACATGGGAATACCAGCTTCCATTGTGAAAGACAGAAATCTTGGCTTTAAAAGATGTGATTATAAAACGGGACTTACAACATCTCAAAGAAGCAAACTGAACACCATCTACAAATATGGTAATTTTTAAAAGTCTTCCTACGTTAGGGAGCCCAGTAAGTAATTTTTAAGTGGGTTGGCAAGGTTGAAGACTGTCTCAATTGTAGTTTCTTTTGGAAAAGCCTATTATATAGATACATTTCCCTACCCTCAATTCCAGTCATCTCTATTGCTTTTGGGGGACAAGGGGAAGGAAGGAGCTATCTAAAGGTCTTTTCCACCGGAGATCAAAAAATGATAATACTTTTGAAAAGAAAGTAGAAATTTAGTACAAACTGCCACCTCAGAGCAGGACATAGGCACATCCTGTATGTGTCCAACACTGGCTTCCTCACGATGAGGCCCATCCTTCAATACAGACAACGGAATGTCATCATTTTAGGGATAATCTCTCTGAACGACCTTGGTGGTCAGGTCCTAGTAGGGCTACTCTCCAGTAGAGTAGGCACAACAGTAGTGAAACAGTCTGCAGGGAAACATCTTTCACAGCAAGTCTTTGGAACAGAGAAGCAAGTGTTACCTGGCAGGTGTGAGATACGTATGGCTGAACCTGCCCAGGGATGGGGAGATGGACTTCTGAGGCCCCTTCCAAGGCCTGTGTGCAAGAGGTAAACCTATCCCGAGAACATGCAGTCTGCCAAAGCCATCATCAGGACCATTTCCAGGAGCCTGGGGTCACTTGGCTTTGAACAAAATGGGAGCCCCAGCCATCCATATTCCCAGATGCCTGCTCCTTCTTTCACTGCTAGCGGGCGAGTTGTGGAACTGAAGACCCCTGAGGCACCTACATATGTTTGCAGCCAGTCCTCCTTTCAAGAGACTCCACTGGCAAATGCCAGGATATACCTGAAGAGTTAAAGAAATAACTATATTCAGCAAAGACAATATAAAAACAAGGGCAGGGATGGCCAGCAGGTTTATTATGTCTCAGGAAAACAAAGCAACCCCCTCCCTTTATTTTTTTGCTAGTAAATTGAACATCACAACCAAAGCCATGGATCATTGATTTGCAAATGCCCCCAGTACCTGAGAATGCTGCTGGACTCCTCACTTGCTGTGTGCTGGCACTGGGACATACAAACAGGTCTTGCAAATCCTGCCCTGTTGAAAAGCTTCCTGGCACCACTGGGTATGCCAACCTGCTACTGAGTAGGATGCAGCAAACAACATTTTCTGCTGCATGGGAGGGAACAACTTCTAATTCCAACTCTGTGGCTTGTGCTGGCTGGCAAGGACAAGCAGGCAATGAGCTACAATGAAAGTATAATGTAACTCCTAGCCTACCCTGCTCCTTCTCTGAGCAGATATATATACTTCACAGAAAATTGTTGCCAGTGAAAGTAGCCTGAAGCATTGACTTCAGAAGTATTGACCATAGCCAGTCTATTAACTGTCACTTTGGAGTTTAGGGCATGAAAAAGGAAGGAAAGTCATCTTTTGGCCAAGGAACAGTACAGAAGTTCCAATTAATTTTTCTGTAGACAAGTTTTCATTTTCCTTTGTGCACAAGGGCCACAGGAGCCAAATGCATCTGCAAGTTATTATGTGCTGTAAGCAACATAAGACTGGCAGGGAAAACCCTCAAACATTAGTGTTTTTCCTGTCAAATGGTTTTAAGAGCTTAAGAGTTTTGGGGAACAGATGATCTGTAGCGTCTGTATCGTCTCACCTCTGCTTTCCACAATGCAGCACGCCTAGGCTTGCACAGCACACAGCAATGTTATCCTCAGGCCAACAAGAGAAGAGGGCTAGGTTGCACAGGTTGCCCTGCCCAACATTTGCATTGGTTTTGCCCCATTTTCTTTAAAAGATGGTTCTTAGGAAAATGTCATCCCTCCCCCATTAACCCATTTCCTGTTTCTTCTCAATAATTAACAGTCCAACAGTGGATCAATTTGACCTTCCTTCCTTGGAAATCATTTGACCTGTATAGCAAAGTCTGTTTTGCATAAAACAGTTTCAGTCATACAACCATTTGTATTCCCCTTGCGCTTTTGTTGCTAATAAAGGTTTATATTTGGCATGGACAGACAGCATTGAGTTGTTCTCTGTTATGAGTGTAGACAATCCTCTTTCCCTGTTAGGCCTTGAGAAGGAATTAAAATATAGCAGCACTGCAATAGCCTGTAAGACACAGCTACCAGGTTAGCTCAGCCTGGCCCAACTCTCAGGCAAATAAAATGCTCCAGGCAATTGCTGCAGGAGCCTCTAGGGTTCCAGCAGTGGATCAAGAGAGAGAGTACTTCTGTGGAGAACACCTGCCCCACCAAAGCTAAACAGTAGGGCCATGGCAGGCACAAGTTGTGGTACGACTGCGCCTGTTTTTGTCAAATCACACACAGCAGAAGACCCCGTCACTGGTGCAGCAGTACACACGCCAGGCTCTGCGAGCCGTGACTGAAAACTCAGGCATTACTATGTTCTGTTGCTTGCAACCATCCTGTTTCTGTCCCCTGTGGGGGGGAGAAGCGACAGAATTTGGGAGGGGGGAGGCAGGGGCGAAGGGGGAGCAGGACAAGAAAATACACAGCTTTAAGTAGAGGAAGAACAGCAGTCTGTGTTAAGGATGGAAAAACAGCATATGCCAAGACACAGGCCTGTTCAGGGACATTGCTAAAATGCCGTTTCCGTTGTATGCTTCTGGAAACGGCTCTGCAGAGTCCTGCTCTGCTGTGGTCCCTCTTCATGTCAGTTCCACTAATTCTGAAGTGCAAGATTAAAACCAGATAGCAACAGGGGCAGGCAAAAAGTATTGCAGAATACAGTGAAACCAAACTGTCCACCCCACCTGTAGGGACATCTGCTTCTCCCTGACTCAGCTCGGCCCCAAGGGGAGGAGGTAAGCATAGCAACTGCTGCTACTTCACCTGAAGGGAGAGAAGGGAGAATCCTTACTCATTCTGGTGATCAGAAAGAACAGCTTTAGGTTTGGGGAAACAGAAACCTGGAAGTAGCAAGAAACCAATATACTGTGGTCTAGTTAATAGCCCCAACAAGACTCACTTTCACTAGGAAAGGACTATCAGACTGATGAGAGCCCAAGGGGTCACACTGACTAATTTGCCAGAAGCAATGGTGATTGCCCACTGGCATGGGCAGCTGCCCATCTCAGCATCATGACAGCTGAGAATTTCTTGAGGTTACAGTCCAGAGCTGACAAGCTTCAAGACAACTCCTTGCTTTAGCCCCTCAGCAGAGACGGTCCCTACACTATCAGCTCTCCATAGCTGACAAACTCAAGCCCTGCTGCTCTGAACACCACTGTCACTAAAGCACTATTGACTTGAGAGTTCCTGCCTGAGGGGTCCTATTGTACACAAGCACTTAGTATGACAGGGAAACATTTAAAAATGCTTCTCAGTGAGGTCATTAAAATGCAGAGAAACTTCCACTGTAGTTACAGAGTCAGAAGACAGAGTGGTCCGAGAAGCAAGGAGAGTGTTAGCTGGTACAGAGCAGGTCATAACATTTCACTTTCACAGCTATCAAATGCAGAGGACAGAAGCTGTCCTCTACAAAGCTTATATAAATCTATGGATGGAAATTGCAAAGAAAAGCTAGGGCTTATTACATAAAGATCCTGCCCTTCTACCACATAGGGCTACTTTAACAACAGTCCTTTTGACCCAAGGGCAAGACACTCCTTTCCGCTATACAAAGTCTTTCTCCCAGTTAGAGCTGCCCTTGGATGTTTTGCAGAGTATAGCACAGCAGGATTTCAACAGCCTGCAGGATCTTTAAATGTTACCATTTGCTAAAAAGAGATCACTGAATATTTGCTCTGGCTTGGATGAAACCCCCTCAGGCTGCCATAAGGGTGAAGAGACAGCTCCATCCGTTATGCACATCCAAAACATCACACAAGTCAGAGAAGATAATAGGTGCAAAACAGCAGGTGAGCCTGCTGCTCCTATCCTAATAAGTTGAGTTAGGAAAGGGGCAAGCTGAGATGGGGAAAAGCAGAACACCAGAAGCATGTGGAAAGGTTCCTGCCCTGGCCTTTGCATACAAGCAGCCTGGGTGAGCAACGGCCATTTCCAGACTCCGTATACCAGTGAGTGGAACGCCACGTCCAGTCCACCTCTTTCAGTTGTGCAGGACTCAAAATAGCATGGCACTCTCCACAACAAGAAGGAAGTGTGGCATTTCCACTGCTTATTATGGAATGGCCAAGCTCACAGCACCACAGATCCACAGTTAAGACAGACTCCTCTTATTGCCCAGTTCACAGCTGCTTTGCTAAGTCACAGCCATCTCTGGGATCACCCTGCCCAAGACAATGGAGACAAGCAATGCCTCTCGAGTACAGCTGGGGTTCACTGGAGCTGTTACCTCTCAAGATTTTATTAGTGCAAGTTGTGGTTCTTCTCACACATGTCTCCAGCTCCTCGGAACGGGAGATAGTTCGTGAGAAACTGCTTGTAGAAGAGCAGCAGCAGAGCAAAGGCAAACAATGCCTGGGTCTACTTTAAAAACACACCTAAATGGAAAAGAAGGCCCTCACCTGCTCCCTAACTTGGTTCCTCCATCTGCAGCTCCTGTGCTGTGATCCTGCTAAGAATTCAGAAGTAATCACTAGAGCAGCAAGAATAGGACAAAACAGAGACTGAGCTCAGCTGTTCTCTCCACTTATGCCCTCAGTGCTCCTTCACAGTCACCCATAAAGCACCTTAGCTAGCAGAGAACATGGAAACTGGCAATGGAAGGCAAATGAGCAGGACCCTGGACTCTCGCTGTTCTGGTAGCTTGCTCAGCCAAAAGCAAATCAACCCACCACCTTCACTCAAGCCTACAGCCAAGCACATCCCTCCGCAGAACCCAGCCTGTACACCCTTTGCTGTCTGCAAGCTTTGACAGAGATTGGACAAGAACAGTCTCCTCTTCCTTAGATGCCCAATTCCAGTCAGAGAAGAGTTTGTGCTGGTATTGAAGATGTCAGCCTCCATGTGACTTGTTATAATGGATCCTGGATGACAGTGTAGTGGGCAGAGGAGTCTGTTCCAGCAGGATCCTGACACTGCGAGGGGCTGCTCTGCTGCTGTTTCTCAGGAAAATACAGTGTTTTGTGAATCAGATCTTTGACAGCAGAAACATTGCTTCTTTCTATAGAAAAGAGAGACAGTTGTTAGGGATTCTCAACAGACAGTATGAAAGCCCCTCTTCCTCAAGAAGTACCTAGAACTCTAGTTCCCAGCACATCACCTGCCAGTAGCCCTTCCTCTCTTTTTTCCTGTATGCCCTTCACCATTTCTGCACTCACCTACACCCAGCTGCTGCAGGAGGTTTTCAAACTCTGGGTCACAATCCAGGATTTTCAACAGGTTGGTGGACTCCATTCTCTCCAGCTGCACATCCCAGTAGATGTAGATCTTCTGATTGAAGCTGACATAAACCAGGCAGGGGCTGTTGCTTCCTCCTTTGCATGCATAGAGGCCTGAAGAAAGCAAAAGTGTGGAGATCTGACTATTTCCAAAAGGACAGAGAAAGCAAATAGATAACTTCTCATGATGAGGTACCAAAGCTGTTAGCAGAAAGCAGAGAGCACCTGGGGGGAAGGGCACAGACATGTACTCGGGCATATGAAGTCCCTCTGAGAAAATGCAAGAAAGTGTCTCTAAACCGTTATTAATGCATGGAAGCTTGGGGATTTGCAAGCTGCTGCTTGCAGGTCTGAGAGAGGGGACTGAGCAAAGCCATAGCTCAGGCTAGTTCCATGGGGCTCCTTATCCCCATATAAGAACTGCTTAGAAGTCTGCAAATTGAAAAAGCAGTAAAGACAAGAGACCACTGTAGTACTCCCAAAAAGAACAGGGAAAAACCCCCAAACCATCACAGACAAACCTCAACGTCACCTCCTCTCACCCCTACTTTTCCCAGATGCCACCAGCAGAAAGACTAGCTGGACTTTCTGCAGTATACACACAGGGAAATTATTCCCCACTGCAGACAGGCAAAGGATTCCAGGTCTCCCAGAGGGGAGTAGTAGCTTTGAGGGAGAAATGCTGTGAGGGCTGGCTTTGCAGTCAGGCTGCCCACCTGCACAGAACGCACTGACATTCTCATCTGCTTGAAATCTGGCAACAGTCCGATTGTGGTCGATGATGTATGTCTGGCCATCCCATGCACAGGCAATCACCTCCTCATGCCCATTGCCCTGCAGGAATGATAAGATTGCATATTAGCACAGACATCAACTATTCCCAGAGGCAGTCAAGAATCTTTCCTGCTTTTTCAGAGACAGAACACTCATGTCTGAACAAGACGTCACTTTTGGACATCTTGTCCAGACATTTTGCACTTGTCCAGTCTTTTTGCACTTGGAGACCATCTCTCTCTTCTCTATCATAATCCTTAGGTATCATAAGAGCTCCTAGACAATCGGGGTACTAGCAGTATGTAAAACCATTCAACTTTGCAATAAGTTAAAAGAGCAGCTGGGGCACGAAAAAGTTCACAGGATGCTGGGCTCACTAGGTCAAACAGGTGGACACAGCTCAACCTCTTGCAGGTGGACAGACTGACACAAGTGCAGAATGCACTGGTACAGTCAGAGCACTCTGTGTCATCCTGAGATAATACCAGCCTTTTTCAGCTGAGTCATACTCCCCTTGCCCTTCCTAAATTCATATACACAAAGCCATGTTGAGCTTTTGTCTTCATCCCTCCCAGCCCTATTCCCAGACACTCACAGTAACATCCAGCTTTTCCAAAGCAAACAGCTGGTGATCAACCTGCACAGACCAAAGCAGCTTGTCTGCTCCCTCCATGAGTTTCAATGTCCCTGAAAGGAAAAAAGAAAGAAAGAAAAAAAAAAGATTTTCTTGAAAATACTAAAAGGGAGCAAGATGTTTGCCAACACTGGGCCCTGCGCACTCCTTCAACACTTGGGGTCTGCTGGCAGAGGGTTGGGCCCATGGTACAGGCTGTGGTTGCTAATAGGCAACACAGTTCCAATTCTGGGAAGGACAGCAGTCCATTATCTTGTTATCAGTAACTGGAAACAGAGAGGAAAAATGGCAGCAGCCCTGCTAATAGCATTGTGCTCTAAGACAAGAAGAAAACTGCCAAAAACAGGCTCCCAAAGTACAGTATGTCAACAGATCTCACATGAGACAGTGAGTAAACTAGAAGCTTCTTACCATGTCCCACAAGATCGTGTGATCTCAGCACATCATGCTGACAAGTATCAGCTGAGAGCTGGCTGGCTAATAGCATGGTGTCATGGTTTGACCCCAGCTTGCAACTAAGCACCACGCAGCTGCTCACTTACTCCCCCCCGGTGGGATGAGGGAGAGAATCAGAAGAGCAAAAGTGAGAAAACTCATGGGTCGAGATAAAGACAGTTTAATAGGTAAAGCAAGAGACACGCACACAAAGCAAAACAAGGAATTCATTCACCACTTCCCACGGGCAGGCAGGTGTTCAGCCATCTCCAGGAAAGCAGGGCTCCAGCATGCCTAATAGTTACTTGGGAAGACAAATGCTATCACTCTGAATATGCCCCCCTTCCTTCTTCTTCCCCCAGCTTTACATGCTCAGCATGATGTCCTATGGTCTGGAATATCCCTTGGGTCACTTGGGGTCAGCTGTCCCAGCTGTGTCCCCTCCCGACTCCTTGTGCCCCCCCAGCCTCCTCGCTGGTGGGGTGGGGTGAGAAGCAGAAAAGCCCTTGGCTCTGTGTAAGCACTGCTCAGCAATAACAAAAACATCGCTGAATTATCAATACTGTTTCCAGCACAAATCCAAAACATAGCCCCATACTGGCTACTATGAAGAAAACTAACTCTATCCCAGCCAAAACCAGCACACACAGGCATGGCCTCCTGGCTGCTAAAACCATACTGGACACTTACCCCACATACCATTTTTCTATCATCCAGAGATACTGTGATAGTACGGGGGCGGGAGGTGGGGGTATGGTGGTGGTGGCGGCCATGATAGACTGGAACATAAATACGAATCTATCCTCCCAGTGCCCTCCAGCCTCGGTAAGGCTCATGAGTGAGCCACAGCGAGGCAGGAAGCCTTGCCAGATGCAGAAGCTTCACCAGATGCAGAAGCTTCAGAGTTCAGGTCCAAAGAACAATCAGAAATTCCCTAGCAGGACATCATTGGGCAGGTAGACATCTGGCCCAAACAGGCCAGGCTGCCTATCTGGGAACAGAGAAGCACAGCACCTTGTCTCCACACTTGGTTTTTTGGACAGAAACCCCGCGTTCAACTCATTAGATTCAGTCCTATTGCAGCCTGTCCTATCACTTCTCAGTCAGGGGCACAGCAGAAGAACCTGGCTCCAGGCCTGCGTGAGGCCAGCTCCTCTCTACCAATACTCAAGTTCCAGCATCCATTTCCTTTAATGCTTTTGGAAACAACCCAAGTCCCTTCAAGTACAAGGACACATCTCTGCTGTGGTTTAGTGTCGGAGTGAGAGACGGACCTGGAGTAACGACGGAATCTCAGTATGAGTATGATCGTTCTCCCTTTATTCAAGTTTCTACAAAGTATATATAGACAAAAAACAAAAACATGCGCTAGCAACATCTATATGATTGGCTTATAGTTTTTGTTCACGTGCCCGAAACGCTCATACGATTGGTGGGGACCTTTTGTCCACGCGAAACAGTACTTCCTCATTTCTTGGAGATGGTTCCGCTTATCTTGATTACTAAGTGGTGACTTCCTTATTTTTGAGCTGCTCAAGGACAGTTCATGGTCATTTCGGGGCCTCCGTTTAGCTCAAAGGCTGGATTGCTTATTGCAATCAAATCGTGCCCCTTTTCACTTAGCCATTCCTCCACAGTTTAGAAGCTCCTGTCTACATGAATGGCACTGTTGAACTGACATCTCAAACAGTTGTTTGACCACTGGGTAAGCAGGCAACTTAGGAGTCAGCAGATGAAAAGTTCTAGTCTCACTCTCCATCTCGAGCTTTCAGTGTGCCTTTGGGCCAACGACCTAGGCTCTTCATTTTCCCTGCTGCTCACTGCAGCATGGCTTTAATACTTCTAACCCCATAGGCCATAGGACCATACAAGTAACTAATGTTTGTAAAATGCTTTGAAATCCACAGATGAATAGACTGTACCAGGGGAGACAGAAAGGCAGATACTAGTAACAGATAGAAAACACAATAGGTTTCCTGAAGAGAGCAAGCCTGTGCAATATCAGACCCAATTCAGTAAGGAACAGAAAAATAGGTTCAGCTTTAATGTTTCATCATATCCTCAGAAACAGGTATGTTATCACACACCTCATTTATGGGGGACTTGCTCACAGTGACAACTCTTACCTTGGCACCTGTCTTAGCCTTCATGCCTTCATATAAAATATGTCAGCAGAAGGAGTCTTTGAGTCAAATTCTCTTGCCTGACCCAGGAAGCATTTCTGAAGCCCAGCTCCCCCTTCTTTCAAAACCAGAAGTACTGAGCCCCTGGTTCCTTGCTTTGAATTAGTGACAGGCGCTGGCCACCCCACAACAGGTCTTTCTTTGAGGACAGTGGTAGGACTTACCATCCAGAGTACAGAGGGCGAAGAGACCGGAGCCACTATTCTCACTGGAGCAGCCTGTAAGTGCAGAAGAGAATTACAGGAGTTGATGTCATTTTATAGCATTGTCCCCTCCCTCTCCTGAAAAAAAAAAAAAAAAGATCCAAAACAAGCTGATCCATCCTGCCTCTCTTTTTTGCCCAGCCTTAACACTTTGCTTAGCATCTGCAGATTCTTGCAACCAACTGCACTTGACACTGGCTTTTATTTGTAGGGCACTGGCATCTCAAAACCCAAGACCTTTGGTTTGCACTAATATAGGCACAGGGTTAAAAGAGAGGTACTGCCAGGACAAAGCCCTATCACACTAGCACAAAAGCACCTCCATGGCAACTCCTGAATCAGTCTGGATATCATGCTACCAACTCTGTTGTTTTCACTACAGCAAAACTGCACAGAAGCTGTGATGCTCTCCCAGCAAACACTGGTCCTTGGGCTAGAGAGCCCTTGCTTTATGAGCAGATTAGACACGTGCCTTCATGCTCATCTACACACTAAGCCCTGGCTTTCCTGGGCTATGCTTATACATCTGTGAACTTCCTGCAAGCAGTATCCTCTCCAAAGCCTGTGTATCACAGTTGTGTGCAGGACAGCACTGAAAAAATGTGACTAGTTAAATCTGAAGAGGAGACTCCCCTGACCACTGGGCTGCTTCAGCCCTTCAGTACACTCTCTACCAGTCAGAAAAGACATGCAAGGTCAGGTTTTGAAAGTGATATCACACTTGGTGGGGGAGGACTGGAGCTGTATTCAACTACAGCTGCATTTAATTCTTTCAGTGACCATGTAGGAGACACTGGCTCCCTGAGGTCTGCAGGAACCCAGGAAACCTGGCAGTCGGGGACAAGTCAGCAGAGCTGAAAGCAAACAGGCAGTTTCCCCAGAATGACGTAGTAACTGCAAGCCTCCCTCCACTGCCCATAGACAGCTCCAAGCTCCAGCAGCCTGCACACTCCCCAGACACAGACTACGCTATTTCTGCAGATCAGCTTAAAGCAAACAGTCAGCTGGTTGAGTGCTCTGTTGCCCCTAGCTGACATTCATCCAGGTAGGCTCTGATCCAAATGATCTGCTGTGTCCCCCTTACAAACTGGTCAGCATGGCACTCTTCAGCTGTTTCATTACTAGTGGTCCAGCATCAGTGGGCTTTTCACAACCTTCTCTTCATCCCTTATTCTGTGTGCCTTCATTTTTCACAGAGACCTCTCATTAGATGCACGGCTTTGTATGCAGTGAAATAAGTGATTTCATGCTCTGTTGACCACGTTGCTCATAGTAGCATCCAAGATGCTGAAAACATGACAAGCTTAGGAACTGGGGAGGAAGGGTAGTCTGGGGAAAGGGAAGAGGAGGGGTTTCAGTGGATTGCTCTTCTCCCCCAGCTCTAATTACATTGGACAGCCTAAATCATTTCTCAGACAGCACTGCAGAGGGTAATACTTGGACAGAGCAAATGCAGCTGGATTCCAGCCAGCTGCACACAAGAGAAAGTAAACTGCATTGGTAATTTTCTGCCTTCTCTTATTATGCCCACACGCTCCGAGGAGGAATGAGAGCTGCTTATTCTCCATAGGTACCAAAACAGGGTTCAGCAGGTGCACCAGGCACAGGTCATAGCACAAAGCAGTTACACAAGGGAAGCAGTGGCAGTGTGTAAGAAAAGTCTGGACAAAACAGCAGTGTGTCAGGGCTGAGAGGAGCCAGCAGTTGTGGAGAGTTTAGATACAACAGCTGAACAGAATACATCAGAAGGAGACAGAGGACAGTGATATAAATGAAATATGGAAGCAGCTCTGGAGGGGTTGGGACTGCATTGGTGAAAGAATAGCAGGATATAGCTGGCAGGCATTGGGAATCAAATGCTGAAGAGCACAAAAGCAAGAATAAAGATGAGGCTGTGGAAAGGAAGGGATGCATCTAGGGAATAAGAAGAGGGCATAAGCTACAGCCATGCAAAAGCAAAGACCAAGGACATCTGTAGGAGCAAGGCATGGCAGCCATTCAGGATGACTAACTGCAGGCCACTGGAGGCTGCAGAGAAACTGTTGTGCTAGGTCAAGAGTAAGAGCTACCTAGGGAAGGACAAAGGCTATAAAAAGTTCAAATGCAAATATCCAGCTGTCTTTCTTTGGGAGCTGGCTAACAGAAGCCGAGTTCCCTCTGTTCTTGCAGCTGCCTCCCACTGTTATTTTTCAATCACGGGAAATCTGATTTCACGCTGGACTGACGTATTGAAAAATTATCGGAGCAACTGTTGGGCCAGAGATCCCAAGCTCCTAATCTCTCACCTCGGCCAATGCTACCAATTAGATGAGTGGAAACATTCTTGTTGTGAATCCGTCCAGATGTTTGGTGTAGAATAACATCTCGAATAGGGGCCTCGCTAGGGAAAAGAGAGACAGACATCAGGGAAGGGTTAGGGAACCATGCCTGGGACTGTGCCAGAACAATCTAAAGAGCAGCGTACTCCAAAGCTCTACAAATCCAGAGACTGATAGAGTTTGTGCATAGGTTAGCCCTTTAATTGTAAAGGCCAAGGAAAAGAATGCATGCCACCCTAGGTATGAAAGGAACTTGCTAAATGATTAACAAACAAAACCAGAATGATTTGATGCATCAGAAAGCTGGAAAGAGCTCAAAGGAAAAAAAAAAAAAAAGAAAAAAGTCAGTAAAACATGTATTCCAATCAAGGAAAAAAAGTCAATTTTTATCATTACTGTCACGTAAGCCTGGGTGCTTTTCGCTCAGGAAGTGTCTGCCCAGGGTTGAACAGGTTGGTCAGAGACCATGTCTGGGCCTGGCTCCTGGCTAGGAGGGTACCACTCCAGTAAGGTCTTCAAGACATCAAGGAGACTTAATTGCCTAGGCTCCCCTCCTTCTGCAGTTTTCTGGGTCTGCCTTAAAAATCTCACAGAATACCACAGAAGCACCTGAATTCCCCACAAGGATCCCTCCAGCACCAAGGACAATAACCCACTGCTCATCCCAGTTGCTCTGGTTGTGATTTACAGCACTGGCTGCCAGGGGTCTCATTAGGAAAACCTCCAATTACCTCACCTGGAAGAAACAAGTGAATAAACCCAAAGTGTCATCCCAGGCTTCGGACTAACTGAGTGTGGTCCAGCCTTTCAGTTGCTACCCTTCTCACCATTAGATAGGTCACCAGATTGCCTACTACTCTTCCTCTGGAGATCTAGGTCACTCCTTTCCCTGCCTTAGCCCCCAGAACCACCCCCCTCAGTGAGCTGGTTTTGCCACTCTCCTTGCCCAACCCAAGGAGAAGAGAGTGGGATATAAGGAAAGCAGTAGCATTCATCTTTGTGACAGAGACATGAAGAGTGTTCATGGAAGCTGGGGTGCCGGCGGGCTTAAGTCATGAACTCCCAGCAGTGTAGGCGGTCACTGAAGCAAGGACAAATGACAGCACTCCCCCTCAGAAAGGTGGTGTGGCGGGGCCCCCTTGTGACAGCTATCTACAGCGGAATCTCCTTATCTAGCCCATGCAGTAATGCTCTTCACCTGCTTGGGACAGAGTTGTCTCTTCCCTCTGTCGTGGCCTGCTGCTCTGAGTCCCAGGTGCACAGAAGAATGGCATAACCGCAGCCTGGCTGAGACACCATCATCTCCGGTGAGCCATCAGGGCCTGGGTTCACAGAGAGGCTGTCCACCTATACTGGCAGAGGAAAAACATGGATAGAGTCAAACTGATAAACACCTCAGAAGGGTTCACTGTGCTCCTCGTACCTAAGCTTGAATATGGCAGACCTTCTGACAGAGCTGAGCAGGAGCTGAACAAATTCAGCTAGAAGCAAAATGTCCAAGTTACAGTAAAAGGTTGTTTCCCTACCAAAAGCCACCTAAGAACAAGACTAGTATTTTCCACAAACGCTCTCTAGTTGGGTGAGAGCAACTGACTGTTTCCCAGACCAACCCACCAGCTGCTCTGCACATACAGGACAACCACCGGGCAAATCTCCTTTCAAGTCATCAACATGACAATTGCTTTGTTGATAGGACTGTGATTTTGTGCTTGCTTCTTCCCTTGGGAGAGCCAACTCTTGAAGACTGTAAGACAAGTTCTGCTCTGAACATCCCGTTTCCTTACCTGACCTTCTAGCAGCCATTTCTTCAACAGGAGCAGCTGCCCAGAGATATGGTCTGAATTCTCCGACAAGTCCTCCCAGCGGAAGGCACGTACCACCCTGTCAGTGTAACCCACCACCAGCTCACACTTCCCATCTCCATCTGCAGGGAATACAGGGAGATAGATGGGGTCTCTCAGCCTTTCATAGCCCCAAGAGCCTCAACATTCAGAAACCACTGTGCTGGCTTCCATCAGGTAGCATCCCTGAGGATCCCAATCCTGTAACGGGAACTTGCACTTCGGGAAAATTCCTGAAGGTCTTGCTTCCCTCCTCCATGACTTGGCTGTGGTTTGCTAGAGCACCTGTTTCAGCAAGGTAGTAATTTCCTTCTGCAAGTCCCACACCACACACTTTCTCTCCCCCACCACCTCATACCCAAACTCCCTCACCCTGCACTCCCACAAAGGCTTCCCAGCTCACCAATGTCATTGATCAGCATGACCTTGGTGTTGGCAGGAATATGCTGCTTGAACACTGGCTTCTGCTCTTCTGCTGCTGCCAACTCATGGTGGCCTGAAGCATCTGGGTGTTTTGAAGTTGGAGAAGTCAGGTCAAAAAGATGAAACCAGCCCTCTGCACTCACCGCCACCACAAGATTCTAAGAGGGAAGAGAAAAGCCTTTGATTTTTCCTCCTTTAGAAACTGCAGAAGCTGGCCCACAGCAGGGCGAGGGAAGGTAATGTGGGTAGATCCATCAAGATCAGTGACTGTTACAGAGGGAGCAGGGGAAGGTTTTTGGCCAGCATACAAACTACTCGGGTACCACAGGGTGCAAACTTCTTGTTCATCCTTGTCAGACTAGGGTACTCAAGCTGATGCGTGCATGCAATCCCCAAATAATGTGTGGCTTTCTCAATGCTCACTTCAGCTCTGCTCCCCCCTGGAGCACACATAGCTACAGTATTTTAGGCAGGGTGCCTAAACTGGGACTTTTGGACTCAGTGGTCCTGGCTTAACCCCCAGAAACAGCAATCTAGCAAAATGAGTCATATTAGACCCAGTGGAATTTGCTTGGGAGTCTAGACTATTCTGCGGCTCAGTCTTGTTTAGATGACCTTAAACGCACACAGCCAAGCGGCAGAAGGGCCACGGCCCACAGCACAGACCAGCACTGAGCAGGGCAAAAGCCACTGAGGAAAAGGAGCAACGCCCAAACCACCAAAGCCTAGTGGCACTCACACAGGGGGACATGGAAATCAATAGTACTTCATGAAGACAGGATGGATTTCCTTGCTCACTAAAACCTGCATATGGCTCACAGAAAGATACAGGTTATATGTAAACAGAAGAACAGCTTTGAAACAGTAGTGCTGAAGCTGTATGAGCAAGGGCAGATCCTGGAGAGAAAGCACCTGCAACCTGTCCTCCTCCACACTCAGGGTATGACATGACCCTAATCTCCTAAGCACCTCCCACATGCCCTACAGACACAGCTGGGAAGAGTTTGGCTGCTCTCACCTTTCCTTTATTGCATACATCTCCCACACCAACACATGTGAGCTGCAAGAGAAAAGAAGGACATACGTAAGAGGAGGCAACCCAGAAGAGCACTTTGGGATAAGCCTCTGCCTTACCCCCTCCTCTGTCATAAACCATCTCTTGAACTTTCAAGGACAAAGAGAGCAGATTCATGGACAGAAACACATCTGCCATGCAACTGTCCAGAGCCCTGGGGCAAAATCCACAGTGCACACGAACAGGGTCAAGGTGGGACAGAAGCCTAGTTCCTGTGTTTGTTCAGTACTTTGCTCGTCACTTCCAGCCCACTGGGCTAGCTGTGGGCAAAAGCAGGGTCTTGCATAACTACATGAAAGGCACCAGAACCGGTTCTGGCTGCCATTCCCCTCTGGCCTACATATTCCTAGGCAGTGGTCAAGGATAGCTGGCTGCAAATACCCCAGAAGGCCCAACCAGTTAAAAATTTTGTCAAGAACTGACCATTCCTTGGCAAGATCGCACAGCCCAGGGTTTGCTGTCATCATTCTTGTAAACATAGAGTTTCCCGTTGGTGTCTCCCACCACTAGCTCATTCAGCTGTAAAAGAGAATTGGGTTAGTAAGAAGAAATTCACAATTACAGTAACAGTATTCCCACACAGCAATAATTACAGAATTTATACCAAAAATTCACTCTGTGGGAAGCAGCAGCAAAGCAAAACAAGAGTTAAAGGACAGCCTCGAATCAATAGAGAAAGTCTGGGAAAGAACAAAAGCCCTAATTTTACTCTCGCAGATAAAAGAGCTGGAGAGTGGCTCCTTAGAGCAACATCCCCTTATCCACTGCTTCTCTAGCCATTGTTTCAGAGTTGCATCACTGACCGTTTTAACATCCTGCTCTGCTAATCACCCCCCTCATCACCCCATCTTTCATCCTTCAATCTAGATTGACTCGATCTTTCTTGAATCACCTGAGGAAGATGATGGCAGCGAGGAAAATGTAGTCATCCAGCCAGAAAGAGGCTGTAAGAACACTTACAATAGATTTACACTGGATGTTCAATCTCACTGATGAAGGGGTAAAAGTCTTTCAGAATGCTGATTATTTCTTTGAAGACAACTGCTAAAAATCACCAACCACCCCTGCTGACGAGCCTGCTCCTACTACATCATCTTCTGCATCATGCCTCTGTGTATTTAAATTGTGTGCATTTCCTAACTCCCTGCACACGTTGCCCCACATAACACGCCTTCTTACGGGAAAATTTGTTTTATCATCTCCTGCACTGCTAGCCATGACGCTTTTCAGGACAGGGCTGTAATAACATTTGACCGCTGAGAAGAAGGGACAGTTTACGTACATCTGGTTAAGCTAACCGCCTCCTAGTTACAGACGAATCAGACCCATCAGAAACAACCGTTTGTGGGGCTGATGGCAGCGTCCCCGATGCACATTCATCCATCGCACAGCTCAAGAGACACCGAAACTCGGCTCTCCCCTGCTGGCGACCCGCTGGGCCCCCGCAAAGCGTTTCCCCGCGCCCCTACGTCCCCGCACCGCCACAGCCGAGCGTCTCTCTTTGGGACCAGACCCCGACCTCCCTCCCGGCTGTGCGGCACCCAGCGCCCGCG